TATTGTACATAGGTACGGAATGCCAAGGTTGTGGACAGCTTTGAAGAATTAGCATTAGAAGGATTTTGTCACGTCTGGGGGAATTTTGGTGTTTCGTCCCGTCTCCATGGTTGTCTTGTCATTTCCCGTTTTATTTTGAAAGATACATCCCCTTGTTTCAGGTCTCTTTCTCTCCCCTGTGTGTCACATATCTGCTTGTCTTCCCTGGTTGTGTTCTCCTGGGGTTCCCTTCATGTGTTTAAATAGTCAGAGTCTCCAGTGTGTTTCGTCTTTCGTCATCGTATCTCAAACTGTACTGAGCGAAGCCATAGTTTTTCCTTGCGCCTTGAACCGCGTTTATGCCTCGTAAGACAGTTTCTGATTTTGTACTTTAACTAACTAACTGTAACTTTTGGTCCTCTTTTCAGAGTGAGTTTATTTTGTGCTTTGTTCACAGCTTTGTCTGCTTCATTAGAGAGATTATTTGATACTTTGTCCATATAGTTTTGTCTGCCTTGTTTTGAACTTTTCTTTGTCCTCCACTCCTTGCGAGTGCGCTTTTGGTTTAATTAAAACCTTTTTGCCAAGATCTCTGCGCCTGAGTTCTGCCTTGAGTTCCATTTCTGACAGATTTTGAATTGGACTCTTAGGGTGACTGGGAGCCTGTGCAGAGTCTGTAGGATGGGGGTGATGTGGTTGGAATAAGGGGTTCTGGTGAGGACACATGTAGTAGAGCAGTGGTTCTCAAACTTTTTTCAGTGATGTACCCCCTTGAAAATATATTTTTAGTCAAGTACCCCCTGACACAGGAAAAAAAATTTTGGAAGAAAAAAGAGGTACAGTGCTGTAAAATCACTGTCTTATTTATTAAAGCCAAACGTAACCATGGTAACGACAGGTCGTTGACAAGTGCGCTGGGTCCATGGGTAAAACTAACTTGGTGGGGGGTCCGTTTTATTTTAAAGGATATTGAAACTAAATACTGAATATCAAATGCAGTGCATGAACACACATTTATATTCTATCGAACTTTTTACAGAATCATTTCTCCCAAGACTTATTATGAGGAGCCTACTGATTTTTAAAATATATTTTGAAAAGCTTCACGTACCCCCTGCAGTACCTCCACGTACCCCCAGGGGTACGCGTACCCCCATTTGAGAATCACTGTAGTAGAGAGTGTGACTGACCAGGGCCAGCAGCCGGGGGTAGAAGTGTGTGACGGTGCTGGGGAGGTCCAGGCCGAGCACCTGAGAGTGCTGCTGCAGCCTCTGGTGGACGGAGCTCCGCAGGCCGGGCAGAAGCACCTCGCTCTTCCTCAGACTGTTGACGTAAACAGGGAGGGCCCGCAGGTACTGAGGCAGGACCAGCTGCAGGGTAAACACAGCCGGGAAAACACGGAGTCAGATTAGGGTTGTCAGAAGTATGGATACTCAAAAAAGTATTGATACTAAAACTATCGATAGCCCCTTCTCGCTGATTTATTCATTTATTTTCATTGTTTATGATCATTAATGTGACGTTAGCCTTGAATTGCTAGCTGCGGCTAATGGGTAATAATAACACGCCACCATTAATCAAGTCTGCAGGAAGCCAAGGATGGATATCCAACTCCCCCACATCCAAGTCGGCCATTTTGATTAGGTCACCAATAGGAAGATCCCAGGCAAGAAATCCTAATTGCTTCATGGCAATATAGGCATTCATTTAAAAATAGTGAAATTATTCTTACAAACACTGAATTAAACTCTATACATGATATTATGTTAAAATAGTGTATGTTAAATCGGTTTGTACAATAAGTCCAAACAAGTTTAATAAAAAAATATCTATTTCTCACAATTATGAAGGGTTAGGTTTAGGGTTAGGGTTAGGGTCACGGTTAGGGTTAGGGTCATTAATGAGGGCCACCATAACATCAGTAACATAGCGTCAGTTTGAAACCAAAGACACTAACCTGTCAAAATTCAGTTAAATTTTGGGGTCTTTGTTTTTATCCTTGTGGTATCGAAAATGGTATCAAGTATCGAATATTTTCCTATCAGTATCAGTATTGAGTTGAACATTTTAGTATCGTGACAACCCTAATTCATATCAAAGAGCTCTGAGAGCTTTCACCTGCAAAGCAGCAAGGTAAAAAAAAAGAAAAAAAAAGCTAAATAATATAACGTATTGGAACATGTTCAGGATGTTCCTGAGCCTGTGACTGATCTCACCTGCCCAGACGACACAGAGGAAGAGCAGCAGTGTTTGCGGTAGGACGCCAGCGCTTGTGTCACCTCAGTCTGCAGCTCCTCCCTCAAATCCTGCAGGGGGCGCTCCAGCGCCGAACAGTACACTAAACAGGGAAACAGGAAAACCACCAGGTCATAGAAGTAAAAAAAAAGGAACCTCCTGAAGTCTCCTGCTGAGCAGCTTTTTTACGCGAGACTGTCGGAAAACTGAGAGAGTAGCGTCTGTATTTCAGTGTAAATCACACTAAGCTGTCAGAATAAATATGTAATACACTCAATAAGTCCACCATAAAATAAAGAAGGAAAAATGTTTGGCGCCGCTTCATTCAAGAGTAACTGACTAAATTATGATTTTAAAAATATGGGAAATTATAAAAATAAATAACAAAAAATAAACAAAGAAATAAAAT